AGCCTTCTTTGCGAAGTCAAATACAGAGATATAAAGAAGATATCCAAAGAATTTCACAGCCAAGCCCCCAAATTGCGCAGGTCGTTGGAAAGTTGAGCGCTTTACTGGAAGCTCTGCAGCTTACCGAGAAGAGGTTGGATACTGCCGCCCTGCCGGGCGCTCTCAAAACAATTGTCGGTAAATGTGTAGATATAGCACGCTTAGGGACCACGAAGTCAGCCGAGGAACATTTGAGATTCTTGGGGATTCCAGAATCAATTTCGAAAAGTCCAGGAGTCCGCCAAATTGACAAACTAGCAAGATACTTCTTCACGTGCAGAGATCTAGCCAGGGTTGCCAGGAAACCCCAATATCAGCGTCTATTCAGCCACATCGACATTACTCCTCTGGAGTCTCCGTTAGCGATAAGTCGGCCAGGATGTTCACAACGCTGCTTCGTGCATGCGGAGGTTCAGCAGATTATTTTCTTGGAAAAGCAATCATATAGGCCGGCACCGCGCGCAATTGGATGTAGCAAGTCGGCGTGCTATCTTTGTGACCTCTTCATACGCAAGCACGGTAGATATGTGGTATCACAAACTCATGGCCGCCTTTACGAAAAATGGACCATACCTGACGCTAAGTGGATGACCACTACACAGGCAGATTCGTTCCGATCAGTGGTCGAAAGCATGATGCAGGACATACAAGATATGCTTGAGAAGTTTAGAGACAAACAACGATACACAAATTGGCAGGGTTGGACCCCCTACCCGCTTGAGAGCAAGGCATGTCTACCTTTGTCAAGTAACTCCAACTTGAGCTTAGTTAAACAGCCCATAAAGAATGAAGCGACAAGGCTTGAAGCGGAGGGCACCGATTCTTTCTCAACCATTCAGAGTCAGCCAAGATGCCATTCATGGCCCATGATTATACCTCCTCTCATCAAAATCTCAGAGGTAGATCTACCGTGGAATAGATATGTGCGTATGAGTCAAAAGCCATTCAGTGTTCAGGTTGATCGGCTTTCTCTCTGCATCGAGTTTGCAACGGCTGCAATTGGGCTTCTTTCGATCTCTTTTCATCGAGCCTCCAGTCTAGATGGAATCAAGATTATAGATGCTTTGGATATCCCTACAGGCTCTGAATTGGACCTCCGAGATTCCCACGCCTCACGAAAAATTGCCTTTTGTGTTCGTTTTGGTTCCGCCCGGATTATCCAAATTGAGTTTACTTGGGAGAGAGTTTCGCCTGTATAACAATCTTTTAGAGCTAGGCACTTGATTCTCATGAATGCTATCGATGGCCTCTATTGGTTCAAAGGGATAAAACTGTGTTTCAGCCGAGATGCTTGCTCACTTATCTTCAAGGAAATGAACCGGGATAGCGCGTGAAATAATTGTAAGTTTTGACTTCTTTTCCAATCAGATTCCGCGGACGTAGGCAAGGGAGGATATTCATCAGACCAGCAACCTTGATAGCCTGCTGGGAGGACTCCAGCCATGTCTCAGCTGCACCCAAGATCATCGAGCAAGTACTCGACAAGCACTACGGCAGCCGTCCAAAGAGGCTGTGATGTGGCAGAATCGCACTTGGCTTCCTGCCTCATTGGTAAACATGATGTATGTGATTTTGCAACCATCGCAACATTTGACTGCGCCTTCACACAGGCTGTCGCTGTTACTGAAGCCGTGTATAGATACGAGTTTCGCGAGAACGCGACCCTGTCACTACCTCAAAACGTTTGGGGCGTAGCGCGTCGCGAGCGCGTCGGGTCATCTCGCCTATCGAGCGCTAAGCAGCACCGATTAAGCCAGCTGCGTTGCGGGGTATGATTCAATCCCACCTGGACTAACGGCGTCATACCTCTTCACCAGATTACCCTTGAGCTCAGCAATTTCGTCACAGGCACAGACTCTGCATAAAGTGTTTGGAACAGCAATTCGGAAACAACAATTTTATATTACCATAAAGAATTTATTTTGCTCTAATATCTTGCCTTCAATCACACTATCCATCACTGCCTTCCTTTCAGCTCTTGAACTTATACAGGCATTATCACAACAATTAACCTTCCTTGTTGAGTATTTGTGGGTAGCATTCCCATCGTATCCCTGCTACCCTGTCCCAATCCTTCACACTTTGCCAGTGGTTCTTCAAGAGCAAGACGAGCACGCCATGTAATTTTCGCTCTGCAATCAGGAACGTTGCAATAGTGAAAGCAGTCTGTTCTCGTTCATGGCAAAATTTAATAAAGTCTTTCCCAATTTTTATCAGCCACTCTAAACCAAGACTTCATGAAAAATTGCACAACTCGTACCTCGATAAACAGCCCGGAGTCAATTAAGCGATCGCGAAATTTTCGTGTGTCAAGACAAATCGACCCTTTTCCTCACGATCAGTCAGCCTCACCTCAGCCAATAGCGCTTTGGGGAATGTATGGTTGATTCTTTAGCATTGATAAATTGTATGTGCTACTGTCGGCCATCTGAGGCGTGAATAAAACCTTACGAACAAGACTGTCTAAGTATTCTAACAGAGCCATCGTCGTAGCACCAGCCGTTGCTGACGAAGGGCCATGAAAAATATCGTTCTTGTGGCTATCAGCGTAATCGGAAACTCCTTTAATGACTATGCAAGGAAACTCCTCGCTTATAGTGTCCCCTTCCATCTCGATACCCATAAACCCTTTTCTTCCAAAATTGTCGCGCTCTTCTGTATTCGATACTACTTTCTCTGTTGACACGATTGGCCCCCAATAAACCGAGAACACGTAATGTCTAACCCTAATCGAATGACCCATGAAGGTACAGTGCGATAACTGTATGTAGAAGCCCACTGTACAAAGGTTCAACTGAATCCCGTGGCATCCTGGCACGAATCATATATGGGTACCGATGCCCATATCACAAACACGAATCACGATCTGTTATGGGCGGGGAAAGGGAGCTGGCATCAAAATTAGCAACAAGAGAGTAATGCGGTCATCTCTAACTGGCTTGCCATTCCCCAACTTAACAAGATGATGGTTCAAAGGGCAACAGCATGCAGATGCAACCAACGGTCGACACATACTGTATTGAGTGGTTAGAGGCCGCCTGAACCGGGATAGGTTAGCTCGCACGTGTCTCTATGCAGCCTTGATTACCCCGCCCACGGGCGCCGAGGCCACGTCATCACAAGGCAAGCGTGTTCCGTGCCCCATCTGGATTCTTAACCAACTTAGATTAATCCTCAGTCTCTTGCTTAGCCTACGTCGTCGCTCTCTTAACCTTTGCTCTTCCTCCTTAACCTACCTTCATGGATGAAAGGGTGCCTAATGATCCACCTTGGGAGGCCGATTATCCCGGCTCTCCCGGCCTTCCACATCCGCCTGCTTCTGAGATAGCTTTGCTCCCTGGCGTAACGACCTTCCTCCAACAGACGGAACCGTACGAGCGTGTAGCTAAGGAATTTCGAGCATCCTGGGAGTCTGTTCAGCATGACGATAAACATGATGTAATTGCCAAAGCCTTCTATGAAGCAGGTGATTTTGTCGCTTGGTTTGCTTATTTTCGCATCAAGCGCGCTGCTGAACAGTCGGCTAGCTGCACTGGCAAGACGGACTGCAGACGCTTGATTGATATTCTTCAACACGCGGATGTGCATATTCAGAGACAGTTAGCGACGAAAGTGGTCGCAGTCTTCTCCGACGAGCAAAAAGAGAAGATCGAGAAATTGCATGAGAAGATGTCGCCGCCTGCAGCAAGACAACGTCAGTCTTCTACACACGATCAACTACAAATCTCAGAGGCACCGCAGCCACACACGACACCAAGCTTTAACACCGACCGCGTGATGATCGAAAGACCAACGATACCCGCCCCCAATAGCTTCTTGACGAGCTACGAACAGGTCATTGTCAACCCGCCTTTGAATACAGCCAAGAAGCTGTTGCATAAAGATCTCTCGAACGCGATCGGAACGACCCAAAATCCTATCCCTAAGGGCGCATTGCTCGCTGCAATCTCAATGGCGTTTCCCCCAACGGGAGGGAAAGACGATTGCCAGATGGTCCTTGAGATATTAGAGGATAAAGTACAACATTTTGCCAAGAGATGGTTCAAAAAGCGCCTCGAATCAAAAGACGGCTTGCGATGTCTGGTTGCACGCGATGGGTCGACAATTGTGCCCTATCCACAGTTTACCTTGCGAGGCTTTCAGCGGCGCCGCCGAACCGATTTTGGGCTAGTTGTGTCTCACGCAATTACAACCAGCCCGAGATACCAGGACGACGAAAAACATAGCCGTCCCTACACAGACGGCGTATCTATGGTCGTATCAGCGCAAGCCAATGCTAGGGCTCACGTCTATTTATCTCTGGGGTTGGTTGAGGGGATTCGAATCAAAGATAAATTGTTTGTGTAATATCAACCGGTTTGCGCCGTTGTCCATGCTCCGTTACTCCTCGCTACTCCCGACTCAACCCTTCTTCACTTTGCCACCAATGCCTTCGAATACTAAGGTGGTTCCCCTTTCTACCCTTCCTTCACCGTCACTAGTAGGATATTTCTTAACAGCCGTAGTAGTATCTTCAGTCTTGTAGACCCTGATGTAGCAAGCCTTGAAAAAGACCATCTGTCCTACTCCGTCAACAGTGGTTGGAGTAGAACCAGCATCGTCAAAAAATGCATCGTCTTTGGTGAGAGTTTGTTTGTCGAACGACTTGAGAACGATCAGATATATTTTGACTTCGTTAGATGTTTTGAACATACCATAGGGTTCTGGTTCGATTCGACTGATGCACTGGTGATCTTGTGTAATTTCGGAATACAGACGCTCTTGTCCTTTCTGTCAATATGGTTCAATTACAGACTCGGAATTCATGAATAATGCTGATAATTAACAAGACGTAGCCAGATTTGGCTCGTGAGTCATAAAGAAGCCCATACGTGGAGAGATGGAAAGGAGTTGCTGCTGGCGGCCTGAGGCGATGGAGTTGGGCATCAGTGGGGTTTCGTTTGTGGTCTCAGGGATTGTGGAACGTTAGCCACATGCGGGCGGACCAGGCCGGTAGGTAGGTTAAGGTAGTGTAGGTAGGCTAAGGTAGTGTAGGTAGGCTAAGGTAGTGTAGGTAGGCTAAGGTAGTGTAGGTAGGCTAAGGTAGTGTAGGTAGGC